TTTTATTAGATCATATCTGCTCTTCATTTGGTTTTGAAAATTTTATACGTAATGTAACACATCTTGATATTGTACCTCTAATTCAAACTGTCATTTGAACTTTCCACGCGATTCTGACGAGTGAACGTTAACGCCTCGTAAATAGTAGAAAATTTTGCGTCATCGCACTCCGGTGCCTTTGTACTTTTAATGAAACTGTGTTTGCATAAGGCAATTAGGATTCTCTGGGTATTCATTCGTTTCACTATGCCCTTCTCTGCGTCTTCAACTAAAGGCCTAATCACAGCATACAACCTCACTTAATTGAAATTCAAGAAAAGTGAGCAAATCCATCCAAACAATCATCCTGCATCCCACAAGCAATCAGTGACTAACTTCATGGAAATCGACCAGCTCCAAGTTCAGAATAACAAGATTTCCAATAAGGCAATATCTATTTTTGTTGATAACTTTAGTCACAAATGTCCTCGTTATGTCAAAATAGCTAGTATACAATGCTAATCGAACAAATGATTGTATAAGCATAAGAATTAATAAAGATTGAAAAATTTGTGAAGAGGTTTAGGGATTGTTAAGTCTTCACTATTTCTGATTCCCTGATTATTTCTTCAAATTCCTCTTGAAATTACCCAAATAAAATTCAATTTTAACCTTACCTATGAAATTCCATTACGATGTGTTTTAACTATCTCGGTCTTTTATGAAATTAAAAGATTCTAGAATTTTCAACTGCCCCGTCTACAAAGGAGTGAGCCCATCAATCTCACAAGATCACAGCCAGTATTCTCATAAAAATAGAAAAATTTGTTCAAATATTTTAGTCTTTTTTCCATTGAAATGAGGATTTACAACTTTAGAGACAGGAATCGAAATTACTTTCAACTTTAGTCATTACTATGCTGTCAAAACAATTACTTAATTTTAACTTTTTTACCTATTTGCCTAAGGCTTGATTTTGTATTGTATTACCGAAAGTAATTATTAAGTTAGTAAAAGGGCAGATGATTATGTGTATAATATTAAAGTATAATATTAAAGCATCGTCATGTTTTCTGTGAACATTCGCATACATTTGCAGATTCATATCTAGAAGTTTAATCCCAGACCCCAAATAGCAGGCTAAGGAGTTGCCTTATGGATGAGAAGATGTGGAGTCTACGAGATAAACAAACATTTAGTAAAAGAACGATGTTGCATGCACTTGTTTTGAAGTAAGTCATTTTCACCGCTTATTTTGGCTAACAAATTAAATTTTGGTTCATTTAATTATTATTTTAACCTCATCATTTTATATCTAGAGTACAAATTGGATCATAGTCAAACAAATAAAGTTTCAACACACTTTACGAAACGTCGACTGTATTCCTTTGGATCATAAACAAGGCTACATTTGGGTTTAAATCAGCACAGTTTCAGTTGAGTACATTTGCTCAAACATCGGAGGTTATATGAAACATCGTTGACATAGCTGTGAGTGCAAATGCAACACGACTTATACAGAGAAACTCACACTGAAAGCATGTTCAAACTCAACTTTTGCATTTTAATTTCAATATGCTTGTTTATCTTTTCATGCTCTTTTGTGTAATTAATCAGAACCAAAGCAAATACGCACCAAAGAATGGAAAATGTGTATGCTATTTTAAGCCGAGAGTATGAAATACGTCATCTGTGTTAGTGTAAATAAGATTGGGTGCCCAAGCGAGCAAGGCTTAGAACTGGCTCTTTGCAAATGGGTATTTTCCTAATTTCATATCTCAAGCAGGCATACGTGTTAAGTTACCAACCACAGACCCTTCAGACTTTCAATTTGTTATTTCATCCATAGTTCTTATCTCTTCTAGAATAAATCATTTGAATTGCTAGAGTAACCGCGTAATTGAACCAACTGATCAAGAAGGACTGAATGCATTGAATGTTATGCAAATATAAGTTGATGGATTTGTCTGTTGCTGAGTTCGATAAGTAAATTCATCTTTGAGCCTATTGTGTATGAAATAAAAAAATGATACTTTATACGTCTGAAAACGCTTTTTAAGTAGGAATCTATAGATTTCAGTAGGTAAAGAATTGGATATTTCAATTTTCCAAAGCTAACATTACTTGAACTATTTGAATGGGGAGAAGAGTTGAGCGCAGCTGAATTTAGGTTTCCATGAAAGAAATATTTGCTCCCTTTTTTCTCCTATTCACACACTTAGCTGTCCATTTCGAAGTCGATTGCTGGGGCAAGAAATCAAAAAGCACTTAGAAGGTAATAACTTCATCAAATTGAGTTGAAATATTTTCTGGCTGACTTGAATGAAGGCAGGTTTACAGGACTATTTCTATTGAGTGATTTCGCCCCCAAGTTATGATTCTTGTAGATAATCGTAATAGATCATTACATATTGAAAAGTGCATTCATTTTTTTAAATTTCTGACTGATTGGAATCAAAACTATTTGTTAAATTAAACTTGATCCACAAATAAGTAATATATCATAAGTGAGTAATAAATGAAATTCAAGCCTACGCGCATACTGAAAGGGCCTTGCCAAAGTCAGCAGATATTCTTCAGTTAAACTTCTTATTTTTAATTTATAAACAAAAAACTGAAATTAATTATGTTTGCCTTGCTAGACATACTCTCTTCCATTGTATAAATGGTGGGTGTCACAAGGAAAGCTTTCAAAGCTGTAAAAATTGAAATAAAAGTGAAAAGACTAATAAAATTTAAACAGAAGGTAATCATGACTTACGCCTTGGAAATAATTCTCATCGATGTCCCATTTCTAAAAAATCAGGCAACTAACGAATCCCATAATCCTCAGTCGTATACTGCTATGAAGGACTGATTGAGTGAAGTGAAACTTTCAAAGCAGTTATGTATCTTTGCTGACTAAGACTTTACAGCCGATGATGAGTTTTTGCCATGGCAGAATAATTGCAGTTCTGGATAAAACAGATTTTGTACTATCAACAATTCTTATTTGTAAATCGTTATCATATACACAAGAAGGTAGACCGAAGACCAATTTTTTGAAATTTCGTTGCTTACAATGTGTTCACTGTTTTAACGGGAGCATTTTTCGTCAGATGTAGGTCTTTTGCAATATGCATAACAGAGGCACAGTGAACAGAAGTAAATTCTCCTAAATCTTTGAGAGTTTGGAGTTGATTAGTTTGGCTTGACACGTGTAAACTTAGGAATGCGATATCAGAAAGAATAAAGCGTTGGAGTCAGTAGAAAAGAATGCGCACTCAGATGAAGTCATGGTATAATTCTGAAGATCAGGTTTGATTTGACTTTCTGGACATCCTTCTAATGCCATATTTATCTTATTGTTCACAGGGATAATCCACATGAGACCAGAATACTGTCCTAAATCATATAACAGATATGAGCCAAGTCAGTCTAAGAGACTGACCTGGAATGATCTGTTTTGGAAATGCAATAGAAATCAAGTGTATTTATCTATACTAAGAAGGGCCACACGATTATGGTATTAGGCAAGCAAAATACTAATTGAGATAGAGTAATCGTAAATCAGAGGTGAGCCTTAATTAAATTTCAAAAAATGCGGCTCTGCTCAACAATTCCTAATGGACGTAATTATTCATGCTGAAATTATATATTTCACTTCCCAAGTAATTTTCTATTACACTTGTAATAATATATTCCTAACTCGAAGTTAGTAATGATAAATCAGTTTCTTTTCCTTGGAAATAGTTCTACTGAGTAAATATATTGCTACTTTGTATGCTTTAAATAGTTGCATGCATTTAAGGTAAAGAATAGGCAAAGAACGGAGATCTGGATTGTGTTTTTTGTTTAGCAAAATAACCAGGATTGGTGAATTGAATCCAAATGACATCGAGGGACTGATACATTAACATTCAGTAGCGCGAAAATCTAAAGGCATGTTATAGACCTTAGAAGAAGTTCTTTGAAACCAGAAAAGATATATTAAAGCTCATTGTTAACGTTACCTCATGACTTGAACTTGACACAGTGTTAGCGGTCCATTACTTTATTATCTTTTTTTTCACAACAGTGCGAAATCAGGGTCTAGAGCCCAGTTTACTCCCTAGGCACTTTAAGTCTCACTTATTCAAGGCTTGACCTTTATGTCGTTCATACTAAACCGATTTCTATATCCTGCAGCTGTCAGTACCATCAGTTCGAAACCAAGACATGTACCAGTATGATAAAGAAGCATGACCGAACACTCGACTAAATTAATGGGTCACCAAGGTTTGTATATTGAGGCTGATAACCAACCTCGAAAACCAGATTAAAAACTAGGAAAAAGGCACCATGAAAAATTTGGAAAATACCATATGAAATATGCCACGTATGAGGTGGCAAGAGTAATTATGTCAGAAGTCAAATATGGTAAGATTCATTATATTCTGGCCACATTATGAACCATTATTCGATTCCCTGTTCTTCTCCTTAGTTGAGCATCTCGCTACCATGATAGTTCAAATGCTAAATCCAAACTGTAATAAGTACTACTTTTTTGCTTTACCATCGACAATCATATTACTGTATTATTAAGTAGTTGCATATAGTGGTTTGTTTCATAGAGGCTTATTTATAAGATGGATGCACATTTATAACTTTATCAGGAATTTATCCATAAATTGTTTGAGTCGGCATCCTCGAAATCTATTCAGTAAATAAACTCTATTTCTTTCCCACGTGTTGGCAGCGCAATATGCTTTGCTGTGAAATCATGTAAATGCTTCATTCATGTTGATTAATTCAACTGCATGGTATTCTGTCAGACACATTGACACTAAATAAAACACACTAGTTTATAATCATAGGTCTATTCAGAGAACTAACTCTCCCGTAATTTATTGAATGAAAATGACTTTTAGTAAAACAAATGGTTATTTCAATTTGATATTTGAAATAAGTTCAGAAAATAATCCGCTAAAGGAACGTTACGAAAATGAAGTATAGCCTTAAAATTACAAAAATTAAAAGAAAATAAAATTTTGTAGCGAATTTCAAAATTTTGTGATTTTTTCACCGGCAACTTTTGGATTAGATTTCTCAATTTTTTTCGACTCATTGCTTCGATAGTCATAAACACAATTATGATCTTTTGAAAATTGGTGTTTTGCACAAAATGTTCCACCACATGCACATTTCATTTCACCTTCTATAAAATACGAAATGCAAAGTGTTCTTCTTAGAGAACATAATACAAGCAAGGTAATAGTTAATGTATGCATTCTAAAATATTTTGTTCCCTCAACCTACCGATTAAGGTTAATTTTTTACTACAAAAAGCGCATGTTTTCCCTCTGGACTTGCTTACTAATCTTTTGTGATGAGTAATTATAATAGACGTTGAGCTTATTTCTTTGTTTTGACTTCCTGTAGTAGAATCTAAAAGGAGGCACTGTGGTAATGAAAGCCACAATACGATAGTTGCTTGAATCTTCCATTTTCAGAGAGCAAAATTAAATTTTAAGTGAAATTTATCAAATAAATCTGAATAATTGTTATTTGTCAGGTAAAATCTACTGTTTTTACCTAAAGAAAAACAATACGCGAAAACAGAAGACGGATTTCAAAAAGTAATAACTATCTTTTCTTTGAACGACAAATAAATTTTAGTGTATTATAAGAAAATTATTATTTTTATTATTTTATCTTATAATGCAAAAAATTATATTTGCATTGATTGCGGATTATAATAATTCTCTTTAAATTTTGCCATAAAGTTTTAAAAATGAATGCAAAATTTGAATAGAGAAGACGGCAACATATATTGTGAATACGGGGTGTGCGATGGGCTTACCACCACGTGGTGCACCCTGGACAACGTATACTCATGCAGCTAAAAAGTCCATTAACCGGCAATTTTCTTCTAAATTCGAACTACCATGATCCGACTATATGTCATATTCGACCCCTTCCACAGCACTCAACCCACCTTTTACTCTACCTTTGTCGGTCTCTTTTACATCTGGGAAACATTGTTCTGTCCCCCATCTCTACTTTTTGTCACGTTAATGCTCCTCCTCCTCTCTGTGAAGCCCGAAGTCAACTAAAAGGCTAATAATAATAATCAAAACGCCTGCCACTTAAAATATATTATGAATACAGGAAAGCTGTGAAACCTTACAGAGTGAAGCGTAATTATTTTACTTGGACATGAGAATTCACCCTTACTTTTTTGACAAAAGATTGTGTTTGTTTAAGATAAGCTGGATAAAGTAAACTAGTAGTAAAATATATATTCGTTGTTGTTATCACCGTCTTAAATTCCCTGCTACATAGAACGCAGAAACTATTTTGCTATTGCAAGATTGGAACTATACTTATATTTTGCTTAATTTATTGTTTTTACGCTGGCCTCTCTTGTCTAAGTTTTCCATTTCGCAGCTTTGAATTATTTAAATTCAAATCACCTAATATAAAAATCATAAATGAAAGATATTCATTAACCATAATTGAAGGCTAACATACTACCATATGTCAAACTTAAAATTTAATTCTGAATGTGAGTTAATGAACATAATGTTGATGTTCAACCATATATAAATGTATCTGCTTGCAGTTGAAATGAGAAGATAGAAGGCTCTTACTGCTTAAAGATGAAACACACCTGCTGTTATTAATAATGCATTATATAATGCCAAGATATATTATTGAAAAAGGGTATAAATTCAGAAATTCAAACGTTTTTAAGGAAATAAATGATAAATAATGATTTTGTAATGAAGAAAGTATATATATCTTTGGATAAATATAAATAGTTAATTTCAAAGGCAGCATTGAATATCGAAGTAAGCTAAAGCTCTTAATGCATTCTTTTGTTACAATGTGTATAAAGATGGTCAAGTATATTTGAAAAGCTCTGTTCCATTTATATGATCTAGGAGCGGGTAACTCAAATAACTATGAAGGCCGAAAAAATGTACCTGTTTGTGTGATAGTGGTATCTTTTGCGAACATACTAACTATTAACCCAAGGCTTCAAGATGCTTTATTTGATATTATCATGTACCAAAAAAGTAGGTTTTGAAAGTATATTTAATTATTGGTGCTTTAGTTTCCATTAATGATTACTTGGCAATTATTAATGTCAGTTTTTTTTGTGGACGTCTTCGCTCTTGATGCAAACAAATGGTTTAATAATCAGTAAGTAAATATTATTATATTTTTTACTACTCCTGTTATTTTGAATTATCTTAAAATTTTAATCTTCAGTGTTATTGCAATTATATTTGATACATATGCTACCTTTTAGTGATAATTGTACAGTTACTCTACCTGGACGATGCAAGATCATAGACTCACAACTTCGTCAAAGTTGTCTGGGAACTCCATTACCCTATGAATATACATCAGATGGGCCGATAATAGACGATGTTGCACATTTCGATCTGCAAACATGGGCAACACTTAAAGCCATACCTATGTGCTGGGACAAGTTACAAGTTAGTGATTTTTATCAGTTCATGTTTTTTCTCTTGTCGTTACCTAAATTTTACGAAACTTGAAATGGTAATCAGTTTTCATTAAGACATACGCTATTTTTCAATTATATTTTTTTGAATTTCACATAGGCTATTCATTCTGTGTATCGTACAGTTAACACGTATACCTTTTAGCATTATGTTCATTTATTAAGGATGGAACTTTTAGTTCTTTTATTTAGGTACCTATTATTTTAGCTTATGTTTTTATAAATGAAAAGGTTTTTTTACTTTCTATACTAATGTTTAATAAAAAGAACGGTTTTCATAAATGGGTTTTTTTATTACTTTTTAGATTTAAGGTTTTTTTTCATTTGCAGCCCAAACTTTTTAATTTTGCTTCCAGTTTATTTTAATTATACTACTTTTCTTTCCTACATCAATTGTTAATTGCCAAACACGTGTGATTTGTCATTCACTATCGGTCCTTCAGGTCACTGACGCATTCTCATATTCGATTTCTGTTTTAATATTCTTAGTAGTCATTTGGGTTCCCTTTAATTCTCCTTTAAAGTCGGGTGGAATAATAGTCATAGTTGCATTTCTTTCCAAACTATTTTCCAATTACCAGGAAATACACCAGTACTATTGTGGTGTGTATGCTTCCCCATGTTGTCTCTTATTTGAGCTTGCTTCTTTCAGTATCCTCTTCCCCCTTTGCGATTACTGTTGATGTAACAATTTACCCTGGACTTAGTCATTGCAACTTTATAGCTATGGGCCAGTGCTTTCTTTTTTATAGGCATCGCGCTTTATAATCATAACTAAACCAATAGAAATGATTTGACGTACTTAGTCTGATTTGTCCATCTACTCATTCAACTTCTATGAGCTCATTTGCGGCCTTACATTGCATTATTAATTTGAGTAATTTATAAAAAAATGAGACACGAGAAGGTATGCATTTCGTCCTTTTCATTAATGTAATTGAATTTGTGTTTGTATCAAAATTGTTAAAAAAACAGAACTGGTCGAGATTAATCGAAATGTAATTTCCCTTGGCGAGAGAAGACGGTTAATCGAGAAATTACCCTGTAACCATGGTTTATAAAGACGACCCATAAGCAAATTGGATACGTTTAACTATAAGGGGTGGGGGGAGAGAGGAAATGGAGTCTTTTTCTCCATTCTGTGACGCTTGTAATGGATAGGTACATCAACAGCTGTATACACTGTGTGGAGCTTTACTTTTGACATTTTTCCTTCCCTGACGCATCAGTAGCATGCGTGCGCAGAGGCAGTGTGTTGTGTTGTGTGTGTGTGTTGCACTTTCACATGCACACGTGTGTCCGAGTATTCAGCCATCCAGCCAACCACTCAATTTTTCCTGGTTGGTCTCCCTCTTTCATTGTTTGTCAAGTAAAGGAACGTTTTTAATTCTAACGTGGTCCCCTCCTCGAACTTGAATGCTCTTCATTTTGGTCTATCCTCTGAGCGTCGTAGTAGGCTCACTTGATTAAATCTGTCCTTCCCTCGAAAGTGGAAGATTAAATTTCCTTCTTCTTTTTTGGTGAGTATTTGTGTACTGGAATTTTTTGGTTCTTCAATAATGACTTCCAATGCTACTTTAATAACTCTTGCATATAGCAATGACACAAGTTAGGTATTGCTTTTGGTAGTGTGAAAGACTCTCAATTTCGTTTAATTTTGATCTACTTCTTTTCATATAAATCCTGTCTATAATTATAGCACAATTAATGTTTTTATTCTACAAACACAACCAAATTTCATCATCCACTAGCCTTCTTTGAAAGTAGGTTTTTTTAAGAAGGAATGATTCAACTCGACTTAATTTTATGTTCTGATACAGACATTTTATGATCACTAATAATAAGTTTCATAACTTTCGTCCTCCAGGATATTTTAACTGAGCTTTTAAATGTTGTAGAATTATTTTTTGTCTCAATAGCTGCACTGCCTATTTTGATCAGTTTAAACGTATGGGTCTGATCGTGTTGATCTACTCTCGCCTATGATTTAACTGTGGCCTTAATCTCAGTACTAGTGAAAAAATTGGCCAATCCTTGATATTTTCCTTTTTTAAAGCAAACGATTTTTTGCATCTTCTGGCATTCCTCTCCATTTCTTTATTGCTCCTATTTTCGCATAAGGATTATGATCAATCCCCTTGTTTAAAGCATTTTTTTGATTAATAATAATAATAATGATAATAATCTAGCTTGCTCATCCTTTTATAAGTATGCCCATTTAATAAAAAATGTCAAATTTAAGTCTGAATCTAGGGCAGGATGGATCTATTTATTTCACTATTTCACTTACTGGATTGAAAGGAATATTACCTTTGACCATTTCAATCCTAGGCAATAAAAATTTCCCAATAGAACTTCAAGTTGAAGGCTATTGAGAAAGGATTTGGATTTGTGTTATACTCTGATGTTACGATTCTTTGAAGCTAATTTAATTACTCTACACTTGGGATTTAACAACATTTTAACACGGGCTTTGAAGCGGTTGAAGGTATAAACTTACCTTCTCTTCATTCACAAACCCCTATTGTCTTTTGTGTGATAATTTATTTGATCGAATTGTTCTAACATCTTGGTGTGAACTAGTGAAGTCAATGCCTTTGTTAAGAGGGTAAACGATCACGTTTGACGATTCAATGTTCATTGTAATGACCAAACTTGCTGATTAACATGGTGCAATGCCTTGTCTAAGAGGTGTGGTGAAAACTTCCTTCCGGTGAAATCGGAATCTATCTCTCTTCAATAAAGTTTAATTTATGTTAGAATTTTCGTGGCCTTTTTTAGTTTAGATAATATCCCCTGTGGTAAGTCAACGTTTTGAGCAGTCTTCTTGCATGAAACTGGACTTGCCAGTCACTGGAGCAATTCGTCCTGTGTGTGTGTGTGTGTTTGTGTGCATGAGTGTGCCAAAAAATAACTTGATAAATTTTGAGGTACGCGGTATTTCCGTCATCGTTACCCCCACAGACAGGCGTCGTCGGTTCTGCTCTGCGGTAGATTGAATTGTGTGTTTGTGTGTTTGTGAGTGATTTTCGGCAGTTTCAAAAGTGAATTTTTTAAACTTATATAAGCGGATTACTTTTTTAATAAAAGCACTAGGCAAATTTTTAAGACAAATATACTGATCTATTTAAAAGTGCTGACCAAGTGAATGGTCTAAAACTGGTGTATTGTTGTTGACTTGTAAGGTGTTCCAAGATTGAATTATCTGTACAATAATTAGAATCCAAACGAAGAGCAGCTTCCAGTAATGCGAAGTGATTAGAGCTGTCAGGAAAATTTTCATTCATCGCAAATATAATCACTAAATAAATGAACTCATGAGATATTGGGGCATTTGTGACCATAATAACACCGCCTATCGTTTGTGTAAGTAAATTGGAGATCGTTGAATGAGCTAATTAATGCTGTTATAGTTATAGTTTAAAAATTCTCTTTCCACTTAATTAGCAGATCATGCTCATTTCAAATTGAAGCATTTTGTTTTCCTCTCAACACTTCCGTAATTTATTTATTTATATCAAATGGCAGGCGTTTTGACAGTTATCATTAGCCCTTTAGTTGACTTCGGGCTTCACGGAAAGGAGGAGGAACATCAAAGTGGAAAAAAAGTAGAGAGGGGGGGGGGAGGGAACAGAAGAGTGTTTCAAAGACGAAGATAGAAAAGGTAGAATAAAGGTGAGGTAAGTACTGTGAAAGTAGTCGAATACGACATACAGTGGGGGTGATGGTAGTTTGAAGTCAGAAGTCAACTGCCAGTTTATAGACTTTTTTGCCGTATGATTATACGTTACCCAGGGTGCACCACGTGGAGGTAAGTCTATCGCACACCCCACACCTCATTAATGAATGCATTTAGAAATGAATTAAAGGTTACCTACAGTTTAATTCACATGATTGCAGTTAAGATTTTCTTTCCCTTTTATTCAATTCATGACTTTCTTAGATCTTCCTCTGTACGGTCTATGTTCCTGAATGCCAACCTATTGAGTCACCGACGGCAACAGTGTCTTCCTCTTCCTTGGCAGCGTTGCGATCACCGACTTCTTCTGACGCTGAGTTTACTCAAGTGGTTCTTCCAGAAAGGGGAATGTGTTTGGCCGTTCGCAAGGCTTGTCCTCTACTATTCTCTGGCAGTGGAATTGGAGGACGGAGTCTCCTCGGAGATGTTGTGCCTAAATTCCTTCAGTGTGACATTTATGCCCCTATTTGCAGACAGGTTCGCTTGGATTAAAACAAATTGTTGACACATTCAATTCTATTTAGACTAAGGTCCCAAGCTGAACTATTGCCAATAGTGTTATTAAAGAAGTTAACTTTTCAAAGATTATAAGTTTTAATAGGACTGAGGAGCCTGTTATTTAATTACGGCATGAGTGCTGTTGAATTGTTGACTTTTATTTTTATTTTAGAATAAGCTACGTCCAAAGATATTCGATGCGAATAAAGCCACCTGTCAAGCGCCACTCGTATCCACTACGAACAGTCGAAATTGGTAAGTAGAGCCAATCCTTATTCAGTTGTTATCTTTTATGCTGCTTCATGTATTGCAAATTATCCACGTTTCCTATCTGGTTATTGTTTTCTTTTCAAATTTAGACGAGGTCTTTGGTATAGTATAAATATGTGTGTTCTGGCTTTTGTAGTGTAGGCGGGTTCTGTAATATAACCAGAAGATGTGCTATCTTGAGTAATCGTTCGTGGTATAGAATTTGGACTAGCGTCATCGTTTTTAGCAGAATTCAGTGTAAAATATTTCTATGAGCCATACTTGCTTTTCTACTTGGTATTTTTGCTTGATTTAGATTTTTGCACTGAGTGTACTGAATGCAGCTCATTTTTATCATTCTACTAGGATTAAGGGAATCTCGACCTGTGCATTTCCATGTCGGAGTCCTGTCTATCTACCAGAGCACTATACCCTGGCAAGAAGTCTAACTTTTGGAGCTGCCATCGCTGGTATTCTCGTCAATCTTTTCGTCCTGGTGCGTTTATTCACTTTTTATTAAAAACTTGAATTGCTCTTTCTCCAACCCTAATCCAATTAACTGCGTTATCTTTCAGTTGGAAGTTCTTTAGTTGTTAGTATCTTCTGTGACATTATTCATTGCGGTGCTGTAGTGACTCGATTTATTTTAAGACTACTTTACTTGACTGTTCCGCTGCGGTTTTGACCACATCCTGAAGGTTAATTTCTAATCCGAGTTCCTCTCAAATTTAGAATTTCACCGCTTTAAAACTTCGGAGTGCTTTTAACAGTGCCAATATTAATTGCACTCTCTTTAGTGGTAAAATAGGCATACTTTTCGCTTTGCGAATCCCGAGGAGGGGGTAACAATATCCGCCAATTTTGGCTTTCTACTTTTGACTGAACCGGAACTCTCAATATTCAAATTAGGTGCCGTTTCTCCTCTCCTCGGACTCATTTATCCCCATGTTTGGACAGTTTTGAATCATTCACTACTTATCTATCTCACTTTTCTCTTTTACGCCTGTGGTGCAATTTATTTATTCACATTTTTTTCGGATTATATCGAGAGGGCCTATCTAAGTGGAGAATAATTTTAACAATTTGCACACATGTTTTGCTTTTTTTGGGAAAATTGCTGCTTCTCCTCCCTCCCAGTTTATTCGTACTCCCCTTTTTTAATTTTTGTTCTCCAAAAACTATTCTTTTTATCCTCATTTCCTCTTTTTGCGCTTAGTTATCAACACTGTCTCATCTTTTAGCACTTCAAGACATCACTTAGAACGAGTGTCTTGTATTCTGAAATCTTACGTCTTTACTTTTATTCGAGTATTTGTAATTGACATCTTCATCTTGTTCTTCACTATTTCGGCGATCTGTGATACGGCAATAGTTTGAAATAGATATTATTTAGCTAGTGTTAGCAATTGTTTCATGTCCATGTCAGAATATGTTCTTTACTGTTACCATGGCAAGAAGTCCTAATCAGACACTGGCATAACACAACCCTAATTGAACGCCTTAACTTTGCATTCCACAATTGATTCATCTTCCAGCGCCTCTTGCCTCCCTGCTATTTATGAAATCCTTCGTGCTTGGCCCCATCCCTCTTTCCTTGCAGTCACACGCACACAGCGCTTTTAAAAACTTACTGTCTACTCCTATATGCGGTACTTTGAATATGTTCAAAGTTGAAATCTCAGTTCACTCTTCGAATTGTCCTTCCATACTTTGCAAAGAAATATGCTAGGCAGTGTGATATATTTTAACGAAACTATCCGGGGGAAGTTGTCACGTTTTTTGCTTCTTTGTGTAAATATTCTCGCCATTTACTCGATTTATTGTGCAGTTATATACCAAAGTAAATCACTCACCTTTTTTTAATAAATATGTTGACAATAACACATTGTTGCTTTTATTTTCTTAAATCCAATACCACGTACAATGCCACAAAATGGGCTATACCAATGGTTTAGGAGCGATGAGGGAATAAATACCTCGGCATTTTAATTGGAACCATTTTATTTCCTAAAGCGCTTTAAAATTTTATTCTTTTCTTGGTTTATTAAACACGATTTCGATTCAATTGCCTGGAGTTGTAAAATAATGGTTTCTATCAAACCTCAAGCTCAGGTTGAAAAATTGAGTTTTGACATTTGTTGCCTTCTCATTTTGCCTTTCCCTCTCTCCTTCCCTTCCTCCCTCCCTCTCAGTAAATAAGCAAAAATTTAGACGTCTCTATTATGAATGCGCGTAGCCGACTTCCTGACGTCCACATATCTGGGCCAATTGTGTGTGCTGTATGGGCTGTCTACGAAGTGGTTTAATTTCGAAGCGTCCCATCTTTATTCTTTGTTTTAAATTCACGAATTTCTCAGCAAACTGAAATTTGGTGCATCACATGGTGACAGGTTGTCTGATGGTCTGACTTTTAGTCTATGTTTTTGTCTCCTAATTTAAATAATTCAATGGAAACCAACCTATACTCAAACATGTGTAACTTGTTGGTAAAATTTGCTCACGCTAAAGTTGTGATATCTCAATAAGTGTTTACTCTGTTACTGGGGTTATCACCTACTTCAACTTTCCCCGACTTTAATTAATAGGTAGTTCAGATAAATTGAATGGATCCAGAATGTTATCTTAATCCACTAACACGTAATGTGTTGCTTTCAGTTCACCCTTCGATTGCTTCGAACACCAAGTATCGCTTCTAATTCAACTTCTTATACTATTCCAATCAATCAGAAGTCAATAACAGATAATCCAGAGGATTCTGGGACTCCAGCTATTGCTGTGCTAACTCCTGGGATGTCGCAAAAACGGCGATCGGCCCATACTGCCCTCACTGTTATTCACTTCTCCTTTCTTGTGGGATGTTTTGGCCTCCTCTTACCTAATCTACCCGGAGTCGGGGACTCGATTGCCTGTCGAGCTGATGGCTCCGTTCGAATTGGGGAACCCCAAGCTCAGTGAGTTGACACCCCTCAATTTTGTTTATTCTATAATTGATTATTTGTGTTAGCGGTGTACAAAATGATCCCCTAATTAATTACTTTGTTGGCAAAATATTTATTTATACGTTTATTTCAAATGGCAGGCTTTATGATATTTATAATTAGCCCTTAAAATTTGACTTCACCTTACCCCAAGGGGGTGGGGCTACATATAGAGCAGTTAATTAATAGCAATTCATTAGTTATCTTCTTGCTTCCCAGTATCCCTGGCTTTCCGTCGTTGTCTTTAGGGGTGGACACCGAATCAGATGGGTCTTCTCCATTTCCTCCTCTAGGTTACATAGAGGGCATGTGGGTTGAGTGTATACTCCCAATCTGTGAAGGTGTTTTGCTAAGCAATCGTGTCCGGAACGTGGTCTAAACTCAGCAACGGCTTCGATTCTTGGCCAGTCGGCTATGTGGGAGAGTGCCACTGTCCACTGTTTCTCCTTTGTTCGAGGTTTAAGTTCGTTGCACCTTGAGGTCTGAAATTCTTCTGATTAATGCCTTCATTGTGTGGAAAGACATCGGCCTGTCCATGGATTGCAAAATCGTTGTCCCCTTCTTAGCAAGTGTGTCAGCAAGTTCATTACCTTCAATGCTACAGTGACCAGGAATCCATTGTGTACCGCTGTTTTGTTTTTCTCTCTCAGCAGCTGATAGAGCTTTCTACATTCCTTTATCTCAGCTGTATTGGGTGGCTCTCTGTTTCCAATTGAGTTTATTACTGACTGTGAGTCCGAAAGAATTATTGCTTTGGTGAATTTTGTATCGAGTCAACATAATTGGCATAGTGCTATCCTAATGGTATCTATTTCTCCATCAAAAGCGGATCTATTGTGTCCCTCTGCTGCGTAGAAAGAGAAGAGTTCAGAGTAGACACCTGCACCAACGTTTGCTTGGTTTTCTGTGTATGACCCATCAGTGAAGACTTGGAGCCATTGATCTGCAGGATAGTTGACATTGATTGTCCCATGTGCTAGTGAGCGCATTTGCTCTGGAGGGGTGTTTGATTTCCTGAAGAAGTCGAGCAGTTGGGTGTAACACACTACATCAGTGTCTGCTAATGGGTTCATGGCTAGAGGGAGGCTTTTTGGTTTGTCATCGATTTCTAATGTGTTTTTCAGTTCCATGGCTTTCTGCATTAGACCAGATTGCGTTTTCAGTTGTCTTGGTCTATTCTCATAGGTGTTGAAGAACTTATCCATGGGAATGCGCAGTAGCTTCTCATACAGGATCAAGGCCTTTTCTTTGATAAGGGAACCTATTGTGGTGCTTCCTGTAACTAGGAGCATTGCATCAATGGGTGTTGATTTTATCCCTCTAGTAATGAGTCGTAATGCTTGGTTGTGTGGCTTCTCGAGGGGTTTGAGAATCACCTCTGTGGCAGTAATGAGTGG